TTTGATTTGTTTGAAATATGCGTTGTAGTTGATAGGAACCTGCATTTGCCTCTGCCCTGTAACGCTGTGAAATTTATTTGAGTTGTAAATTAATCTGTTTGCATTATGAGTAACATGATTTGAAGGCTTTAATAAATAATTTGATTTAATGTAGATAACAGCATATTTATTTATATAATAATATGCGAAATTCACTCTTATTATGGATAGCTATCAGTGACGTGATGTTAAATACTTATTTTTTGAAGTTATATCACTAAATTTGTTTGACAAGTACATTAGACATTATTTAATATAAATGTTTTCTTTTCAATAATGATGTATTTTTAATAAATATTAAATCACCAAAGCCAAATCATCATCAAGTTTATATTGTGCATTTTAATTATAAGTGTTTAGTACCCACAAAATATATAAGGTGGTTCTAAGATCTTTAGTTAAGATATTGCCATGACCTGATATTAGGTCTGCTTAAATAACTAAGTTACGTTAGTACTGTGATCTAAATACAAGATGAAATTTGAAATTTGAGAAATTTTCGATTCTGGAGTCTCTATCTCACTATCACTGTCATTTGTGTGAATGTATTATGTTAATACTTTTATCTTTCCAATAGTTACACATGAGTTAAAATAATATTTTGATTTCTTTAACTATAAAATTTCTATAACAAAAATTTTGAGAATATTACGAAAAGATTGTGATGACATAATAATTTGACAAAAGAAAATTTTTAAAATTTTGACAAGGATAAAAAATTTTAAAGAGGGCATACAAACTGTTAACGATTAAAATCGCTCTGTATCGTCATCAACATTAATTAATGGCCAACACGTATAAGAAATCACAGATTTGGCGCTCAGAAATTATGGATTGATAATTTGAAATCTCGCTGATAGTGTAAACATTTGAAACAATCTAGATTATTTTGAAATAAGTTTTGTGGCTGAACAGAATCTATTGTTACTTTTGAATTTCACATATTTGAATTTATTCCTGATACCATATTTCTTCTTGTCTTCTTCTTTATTTTTCTTCTCGTATTAAGCTTTCTACAATAGAATGTAATGTCGATAGATGCCAAAATCATTCAGTTTTTTAAAACAAGTGTCGCGTTTTCTGTCAAATAATGATTTCTGACTAACAGGATAAGAAGAAATACATTATAATTAGAGCTGAAAATAAGCGACTAATCGAATGAATACCGCCAAGGAGATAACCTAAGTTTAAAAATAAGAACAATGATAATTATTTTTTTATATTATCGTGATGTGGTGCATTAAGAATATATTCCGTCAGTCCAAATTGATAACAAATATTTTTTTGAAATTGTGTAGATAATGTAAATAATGCTGTAATGCTGTAAATAAAAGCAGATAGTTGTTTGTTTTTATTTTTTTCAATACTGCATTGTTACTTCAAAATTATTTTGTCAAAAATTTGATGCCACTCCACATCAGCTGTCTGGCTTAATCCTGAAACTACTTAGAGGATACTGTTTTGACATGATTGAGGATATAAAAAGGAAAATAAGATCATTTCAGAAATGAATGGAAAAAAATGAAATTTTGTCATCAAACGTTAGTCTTGACAACCCAAATATTGATTACGTT